TAACGTGTAGACTCCTTTGATGAATATCAAAAAATTGTTGGGTTTTGCACATAAACTTCTTCTTCGGGTAGCTTTTAAAATCCTCCTTCTCAGGTTTACCTTTTTTATTTTATTCATTGTTTAGAACTACAGTTTTCCTTGTTTCCTGTCCCATATATTCTTAGTACTTTCCTCTAACTTTTTTTTCCCCTTCATTATCTAATAGGTAGCGGATTAGTTTTCTATAAATTAAAATATCATGAGAGTTTTTACCTCGCCTAAGGCTTTGCACGTTTAACTATAATGAACGAGACGATATGGCCATATTTTCATAATAATATAATTTCGAAACATACTACTATATAGGGAAAGCCACATGCACGAATCATTATCGGTAAGATACCACCCTTTTAATCAATAAATGCAAAATTGGATGCTTTAACAATACGTACGATACGAGAATCCACAATAAAAGGAATCATCGATCTATGACGTTATCTAATATTTTTCTTTTTTGATATTAGGTCAAGTTATGGACCCGTCAAATACCAGCACCAGCAAGAACTAGACCATCAACAAATCCAAATTTAGCAGGAATATCTATTTTAGAAGTAAGATTGATCCATTATTAGTAATTCCTGTGATTAAGCATTGTTTAGCTTAAAAATATAACTTTTCATTATTATAGTGGGCCTACAACTCATTATCAACAACGTACCGGTTGTGCTGCCGCAGGCAATTGCTAACTACGTGGTTACCATTCCAGTATCTGATGTCTTTTTGGATCCACCCATCGTTGAAAGAGCTATAAATATAGTCGCTAGATAATTTCATCATCGATTCATATAGAATCAATCCACCAAGCCATTTTAAAAAAAAACAACCGTATTTAATAATTTACATAATCAATTAATTGTAGATTTATATTATATAATCTTAAAAAGGTTTACTATTTATTGCAATAATAAAGTGTAATAAGTTCTATTTTTGCTTTGATTCACTAACTCATTTATTAAAAGATAAATCTCAATTTATTTCGATCAGTAATGTTTGAGCAAATACATTATTATAAGAATAAAGCCAAATTTCAACGAATGATTGGATTGCATGATTGATATAATAAGCCCAATGTGCTTTATTAAAAAAGGTGGAGCGATACTGCGCCAAGCTCAAGTGATATGCGCCGTGCTGGCGATCACGATCACGATTTTCTAAATAGATATTTCATTTTTTTTTTAATAAAAAAATAAAGTCTAATATGAGAAGTATATATTACTTATACAAGAAGTAACAATCTATTTTAAGTTATAAAATTTAAATTGATTTGATTACATAAAAAAGTACTTTTTTAGATATAATCCTGATTAAAATTACATAGAAAGAGAAGAAAAAAATGTTTCAAATTTTTGGTCAATTTTTTGATTACTCTTCCAAATTTTTGAACCATATATAAAAAAGAGATATAAGGTGAAATGAAATGAAATGTTAGATTGACAAGCTTAAATAACAACTGTTTTATCATTTAACATACAAATATAAAAATATCTCACTTTTTGAATTATTTGTTTTTAATTATAAAAAAATTTCTTTTTTTTTTTTTTTGTTTTTTAACGAATTCAGTTAATTTCCTTTTGCATGACAAAATTATAATAAATTTTTAAACATTATTATATAGGTGAAAAATTATTTAGCTCTTATCATGTATATTTATATAGTGTGTTAATATAATGAAAATCTCTTCCAATAATATATCATCCATTAATATTATTAACCATTAGTTTTATCCTTAACGACGAATGCATATCGTACATTCGTAATTCTTTCTTCCAAAACATCTAAATTTACCATGCAAAAAAAATTTTGTTCTATACAGTACAAATGAATAATAATAATAATAAAAAAGACATTGCACGACTTTACTACAAAATAATTGGATCGAAAAGAAAAAAATCTTTTGATTCCTTTAAATAAAAATAGAAGCACCTTATTGCAATAGCTCATTGATAACCTACAAGAATAATAAATAAAATATTTCTTGAATACTTATAGTTATGTATAATATACACACAACCAATTTTACATACCCGCAAGTAATGCCTTTTCGGCAAAATATTTGACATCTGCATCCGAATCTTCCCGTAATTTATCCAATGCAGGCTTTACTTGTGAATCCAAGAGTATAACGGTTTCCGGACTTTGTTTAAGTACAGGTATTAAAACTTCATAAGATTTAGCGACATTAAATCGGATATTAGGAATAGGATCGGACACTAAATTATTCACTGTAGGAAGGATGTAATCTCTAATCACTTCCGGAGTAACAGCAGGAGCCATTGTCTAATGATATTATGTAAATAATGATTAGATATATTTGATTATTAAATAGATAAAATAGATATATTTATATATGAAGCACAAACCGTGATAGCAAAAATGGTTGTCATTCTGTATAAATAATTTGGATGGGTTCCCATCGCCAGCACTTTTGGTATAATTGTAGTCTTTGCCCATTCAACTCCAAATACTACAGTTAATTTTTTCAAATTCACTGTAGCAGCTTCACGAATGGAATAGACATTATCTCCTAACCAAGACATGCACAGATTTCCTAACTTTTCGTCAAAAAATTCTTTTCCTAATTGACTAGCAAGTAAAGGAATATAATCAATAATTGCAAGGCGAACACGCCATTGCTTATCCTCAGCCAATTCAACTATGGCAGGAAGGAGATTCTGTGATAAAAGTTCAATCCCGATAACTGAATTACAAAAAGGAAGAACGTTAAACCTGCTTTAATAACTATATATATAATTAATAATTTCTTACCTTCATTTACTTGTTCTAATTTTGATATAATATTTAGTCTGACGTCCGGGAATTCATCTTTCAAAAGTTGCAAAAATAATGGTAACAAGTGCTCGGTTGTACTATAGAAGATGATTCAAAAAAATAGGTATTTGAAAAAGGAAATAAAAGAATAAGAATATTGTCTAATAATTAGTTACATACGCTTCTTTACCCAAAATAGGGGCTAACCCACTAATTTGAGTAGCTAAACTTGCTCGAACGTGTTGTGATGTGTCTGTAACCAAATCTTTAACGCATGGTAAAATATGCGATAAAATCGTTTGTTTATCGATATTTTGGGCAAACCCTAATAATAAATGTATATTTTAAGATCACTATATGCAAATATAAATTAATAATGATATATAACATACCTGGGACTTGACCGGAAGCAGCTGTTCTTACTTCTGCTTCATTGTCTTTAAGTAAATGAACGAATGCTAATACCAAATCATCACGTGTTACTTCTTCACCAACAGCTTTTGCTATCTAATTCAACATACAATGTGTATATTGGTAATGGTTAACAATAATCAACCAAACATCTATATTATATATATTATACAATAATATACCTTTACGAAATTTTCGGCTATCATGTATCGAACTCTCCAGCTTTTATCTGAAACCATACTCCTTAAGGTTTGCAAAAGATAAGTTTTGCTTTCTTCTTTGGAAAGTACTTCGGCGATCGCAACCAAATCCTCAACGGTCAATAAACGCACCGAATCTTGTTCATCTTGTGCGAGCTTACTAAACAATGGAATAATATCCACAACAACCTGTTCTTTCGGAATCTTTTTCGCAAAGTTCTGTATCAATTCGAAATGAATAATCGATTTGCTTAATTAATAATTAAAGTATATTAACTATTATTATTGGAAAAAAAAAAAGTCAAAACTTACGCCCAAATTACCAGCAGCAGCCCTTCTAACCATTGGCGTTTCATCTTGACATAATTGTTTGAACATTGATCGCAATTCATCCTGTGATGATGATGTTGCAGCTTGGTAACCTGCTGCATACAAACCACAAGCGCTAGTACGACTGGTAAACCAATCACCACTACCCAAACGTTTAATTAGTGGTATATAAAATTCTTCAATCTGTTGTTGAGAGAGAACTACAGCAACTTTAGTCAAAGACTCGACGGCCTATTGAATATAATTTTAAAATATCATTATTATGTTAATATTTATAATAATTTAATAAATCGATGATAAAAATAATACCTTTTCCCTAACAAGAGTTTCCTCAACTGCAGCAAGATTTTCCAATGGTCCAAGTATTTTATGAGCCTGATCTTTACCACCAACATATTCTACAAAATTACCAAGTTCCTCTGCTAATGCTAGAAGTACCTCGTCCTCATCATCGATAGATTCTAAGAGAATGCATGATTAATCGGTCGATATAGTTAATTATCATTTTAATAAAATTGGACACACTTTGGAAAGTTTATATAAATATTTCTACTCTTTTATTCAATCCAATCAAAACTGCGCGAATGGTTTATTAAAAAAGAAAAAAACAACTTTATGGTTTTTAAATAAACGAATACTTTGTCTCTTAAAATGCAGAAGGTAGAATTTGCAAGCCGTTGCAATTTGCGCTCACTCACCATCAAGGAACGGTATAAGCTCATCCCGAGTTCTTTGAACACCTAGTGCTAAAGCAATGGTTGAAAGACGTCTGATGGCGTTTAAACGAAAATTTACATCGTCAGCCCTTAACTCGTCCAGTAAGACCGCAATAGGATACAAGCTATCTTCGTTTTCGACATCGGGGTTCATTGTTAGATTAGTTCAAGGTAATAAATAAATTAATACGTTAGATTAGCTGGGAAAACGAATTTTGAATTTTTTTGTTTAATTAAAATTTTAGTGTTTCAAAAAAGGAAAGTTTAAATTAAACCAAATTTAAAATTAATGGCCTGAATTATCAGAATAGCATACATAGATTATCAGTAAATTAACATTGGTTAGAATCAAAATATATAATTTTTTTAATTTTTAAAAATAATAAATTTTAACAAGTATAATTTTACAGTCTTTTTTGATACTATCTAATTCAGAAATTTCTTATCCAAAGAAACTTTTTTTTTTTTTTTTTTCCTCCCACCGTCCATATCATATTTACAAATCTAATCTATTCTATAATCGATGTCCGGGAACAGCTGCAAAAATTATCATTACAATTATAGAAACTAGTGTACCTAGTAAAAATACTCTTAAACCTTTTTTTTTATGTAATGTATATATGTATGGTTCCATTACACGTTGGAAGTGAAAAAACTTTGATTCACTTTATTTAATTTTATCATAATAATAATAAAATAAATAAATAAAAAGTTATGAGTATCTTGGATTAAATAACGCTAGAAAATATATATACCAAATCATTACTTTCGTTACCTTATTTTCAATAAGGCGAGAAGGGGACTAAACTTCGATACAGAAGCAAATAAATTATTAACACCCAAATATATTGGAATAAAGCTCTAGAATTTAAAAGAAAAAGGGAGGTTAGTGAACGGAATCATCATTGAGACGTTAAAAACCGAATTACATACCCATAATCGTACAGTCCACGGCTTTTTTTCTAAAAAAATTAAACATAGTGCAACAGTAAAACCAATAAATAAAAATAATAAACCTATTCCTAATCTAATCATAATGTGTCGGTCATGCATATTTCCGAATGCTCTAGCTTTTAAAAATCCGGGGAAATACTCTTGTTCCATTAAATTATAAATTTCCTTTTTCGCTTCGTAATATATCCATGGGTCATCCCTTTTATGTTGAGTATCGCTTTCGTCTTCGATAGCATGAGCAATCTTCTCTCGAACATGACTCGTTAATATGATTTTTTTTTCAGAGTCACCAAAAATATATTTAAAATAAATACGTTCCGCAGATACACGAAGATCTTCTCTCTGAAATGGTCTCTCACGATTATATAATGAGAAATTTCCTGTTGTATTGGTTCTGTTGGAGCGAACAGAATCTCGATGTGCCAAATTTCTCTGTCTATAATCATTCCTTTCATTTGAAATCTCAATTATATGTGAACTTGAAGGTGAATCTGGGCGAGAAGGAGGATCAACATTAAATGTATTATCCGAACCACGAGATGAAGAACTCAGATGTCTTTGAATACCACCATCTGCACTAACAGTCGTACTAAATTTATCCTTTTCAGACTTATTATTTCCCGGTCTATATCTTTCATATTCAGGATATTCAATATCCACATCCAACCCAAGTTTTTTAAGGTCCTTTACATATGCTTTACATAATACCTCATGTTCTAATACATCAAGATAAAAGTCCAAATAATCAGAAGCCTTTACTGTATCTCTCATATAAAGGTAGAAATTATATAGACATACTGGAGGTGCAGTTTTACGAGTAAGAACCTCGTTTAACGTAGGTAGTCTGTCCCGCTGAAATGTTGGATAAGTAGCGTTGGCAAGACGTTGACCTTTTTCAGAAGCAGCATTAGTGGTAGTTTGCCCTTGACTACTCATAACTATAAGTTGCGAATTTCAAGACAATTATTTTAAACCGTCAAAGTATAATTTATTAAAAGAATTAAATCGATTAATTTACTTGCTAAGAGTAATTATCAAGAAATCATAACTGAAGAGTTCTTTTTCAAACTTTATTTATATATTTATACATTTTTTTTAAGAGAGAATCCATAAAAAGAATATTATTATGCCGTTACAAAAATAGAAAATAATAAACAATCTAAACCAAAAAAGCAAATTCTTTCCTGTTCATCATTACATATCATCTGGTTGACAGTGATTTTTCAATCGCGGTCCGATTGGCTTGCTCGATTTTATCACCCAAATCTTACAGATGGGCTAATGATATTATTCTTCTGTGAAACGCCAGCAGGCGGGTACAACGGGTAAAATAGATTTGGTTTAATATCTAGAAGACATGTGATTACCAAAAAATTTTATCGGGATTTTATATGTTGAACCACCTTCGTGTTGGTATCATTCATTAACAGCATAGCATTTAATTCTTCACATTATACTGAACAAGACAAAAAAATTCACTCTCTATAATATCCCAACACGCAGTAAGATACGTTGATAGACAATTCGAATTTAAATAATTTTGACTTTTGATTCTTTTGTTTACATATTGTCTCCTATATAAGAAATTAACAGTAATATAAATTTCGTTATCCTGCATATAATCGATCGTATCCTTGGTATTATATTAACAATAACAATTTGTGTTTGACTATTTTGAAAACAGGAAATTCTTTTTTTTTTCTTTGAACGTTGTTTTGAACACATGATTGCAAGAGATAACTCAACCTAGGTTTTGTAAAAATATGTAATAAAATACAGAAAACTTGAATACTTACCTATTATATATTTTAAATATTTTTATCAATGTAAGAAGCTTCTTGATTTTGCAATCGGTTCATGATTTTTTGATTCCTATAAAAATTTAAAAATTTGTCAAAAAATAAAGTTATATACTGTTCTTATCCTAACTTCTTACAAATATATTTGAGTAATAGAGAAATAGAAATTTTTATATTATTATTTATATATTTATCAAATATCATTCAAATTTAAAGTATCCAGTATATTTAACAAATATTATTTACTTGGAATAACTTTATTATATAATATTAAATCTTTTTGTTATAAATTTAATACAAAATAAAATATTTTCTATTTAATTATTAAACAAAAATAATATTAATAATAATATCTTAAAACAGCTTTGATATTTTCCTATAAATTTTTATTTCATTTGTACAATCATCTAAATTTTTAAATAATCATTTATCATGTTTGTTTAATATAATTTTAGCTTATTTATTTCATATTTCTCTTATATCAGTAAAGTTAAGTAAATACAATAGAAATTAAGTTTAGAAATTCATATTTGTATATGTAATAACAAAGTTCTAAAGTATCTTAACATTCTTTATCAATAATGACAGATAATAAAAAGATCAATTTCAAAATTTTCATATTTATATATATAAATATGTTATTTATTATATCTGTAGCTTTTTTATATTCTATATGATTTACTAATTTTATTTTCACTTTTTTTTACTTTATTTACAGTTAATATGATTAATAAATCAGAATACTATAATAATCTTTAATGTTTTATGATTATTAGTATCTAATATAGATTCTTATTAGGTATTAAAATCTTAATCAGATAATCGTCATATAATTAGCTTAGACTTTATTATAATACTTGGGATTAGGTCTTTAAGAAAGTTTTAATACTTCTGCAAATTACTAACAATCTGAAATACTAAAAATAATTTCTTTTAGCATTAAGATCTTTCAATAAATATTCAGCTATTTCAGTCATATGATTTAGCAAAATTTAGCTTAAATTGCAAAATCAATAGCTATTTTACACTACACATATTTAGTATTATTTCAACACTAAGACTTTTTGGTAAACATTTTGTCAATTTAGTCATGTATTTAGCTTGAATTACAAAAATTGATAGTTTTTATTATATTATACAAAATTTAATATTATTTTAACATGGTTATAATATTTCAGTTAAATCTTTAATTATATTATTACAATTAAAAAAAAAACTGTCAAAATTAGTAAATAAAAAAGTTTTTTAGATTTTCTACAAAATACCTATAAAATATAATTCTTTAAGATATGAATCTAAGCCACCGCTAAGCCACCCATATTTTGAGATTTATATAAATACCAAGGCTTTGATTTTTGACAATTACCACGTTTTATTTTTGAACTTATATCATTCTTTGAAACATTATTTTAAAGTTTTACTTTCATACTAGAACTTTTATCTAGAGTTCTATTCCTCTAGTATGTCTAATAAACAAGCACTTAACGTAAAAGATGCCCTGTCATATCTGGATCAAGTCAAAATTCAATTCTCTGACAACCCAGATGTTTACAACAGGTTTCTTGACATTATGAAAGATTTCAAAAGTCAAGCGATCGATACTCCCGGAGTTATTGAGCGAGTTTCAACTTTGTTTAAAGGACATCCGGCTTTGATTCAGGGATTCAATACCTTTTTACCTCCTGGATATCATATTGAGTGTTCTACGAACCCTCACGACCCCGACTCCATAAAAGTCACAACACCTCATGGAACAACTACTTCTACTATAGGGCCTTTAGATTCTCATCATTTACAATCAGCAGTAAATAATTTAAGTGGAACAAGTTATCATTTATACACTCACCAGCCACCTTCTTCTTTGTTGCCATCGTTATCGCCGCATCAACAAGGACCTTCTTTGCAATCACAACCGGTCTATCATATTGGTTCACCACAGCAGTCGGTAGGACAATCATCTGGTCAATCAACTTCACAAGCAGTTGGACAATCAGTTGGTATTAGCGCTGCGGGAGGTTCGTCTCCAAATGCTCAACAAGGTAATGGTAGAAAAGGTCCCGTCGAATTCAATCATGCGATTAATTATGTTAATAAGATAAAGGTAAATAGTCTCTATATCGTTTCTCTTTGAAATTTAATGAACAGACAATTTTCTAAATTTTCTAAAATAAAGGCAAATCTGATCAATAAAGTCTCTTAGTCGTTTCGAGTTTTGCTATATGAATGAAAAATCACAATTGTCCTATCTAATTCACCCATTAATTCTGAATTTATACAGAATCGGTTTTCGACGGATCCCGATACATATAAGCAATTCTTAGAAATCTTACAAACTTATCAAAAAGAGCAAAAACCAATCCAAGAGGTATTATGATTCGTTGGTCTGTTTTTTTTTTTTTTTATATATTTTTTTGATTAAATTTATGAAATTTATAATTTTACAGGTATATGCACAAGTTCAAGTTCTTTTCAAGAATGCACCAGATCTTCTGGACGAATTTAAGCAATTCCTTCCAGATAATTCCGGTAATTTTCCTTCTGGTAGTTTATTTGGTGCCTTATCTCAAAGCCATGGCACACATAAACCATCGCATCTAATACCTGCTATTAATGCTTTGACAAATGGAGTTTCTGGTGAGTAATAATGAGTATCCTTCAGCATAATTTATAACACTAAAACATCGTATTTATTTTGTCATTGTCATTTAGGTCTTGGGACAGGCAGATTACCACCAGTTGGTAATTTTCCACCGTCTCAATCAGTTTCTTCGATGTCTAATGATACATACAAAAAGTCATCAACAGGAGTATCAAATTTATCGGTTAATAATTCTTCAGGGCAAACTGTTGGATCTGGTTCTATAGGATCTTCGAGTATATCCAAAAAGAAACGGTCAGTTCTTCCCGGTTCCGATAGAAGTCCTAATAACATATTATCGAGCAAGGTATTTAACAAGGTGATATCTATTTATGTATAGAAAACTTGTATAAACTAATTTGGATTTCCTTAAAGTCAAAAAAGTCGAAGTTAATGCATAAACCGTCTAATGATCAAGTTCAGGCCGGTTCATCGTTATTACCGGTTAAAACTGAACCTTCAAAGATATCGGATAAACAGCCGGCTGCTTCATCTGAGGAACTGATGTTTTTTGAAAAAGTCAAAAAGCATATCGCAAATAAGCACAGTTACAATGAATTTCTCAAACTTATCAATCTTTATAGTCAACAAATCTTAGACACATATTCGCTTGTTAAAAAAGTACAGAACTTCATAGGGCAAAGCGTTGAGTTATTTGAATGGTTCAAGAACTTTGTCAAATATGATGAGAAAGATGATATAGTACAAAACACAGCAAATTCTAGACCACGTGTGGATCTAGAAGGATGTATTTCATATGGTCCTAGTTATCGTCAATTACCGCTATCAGTAAGTGAACTTCTTGAGTTATTATTTATTTATATTTTTTATTTATTTATGAACATTGTATATTATCAGGAGGCTTCTTTGCCTTGTTCTGGTCGAGATGAACTATGTTGGGAGGTTTTGAATGATAAATGGGTATCACATCCCACATGGGCCAGTGAAGAGGCCGGATTCGTTTCACATAAAAAGAACCAATTTGAAGAAGCACTTCATAAATGTGAAGAGGAAAGGTTAGTAAAAAATAACTTATATATAGATTTATCAGCCCGTTGTTATAATTATATAAATTTTTTATCATTTAGGTATGAATATGATATGTTCATTGAAGCAAATCAACACACCATTGCTTTATTGGAACCCATTGAGAGAAAAATACTATACAAAATGTCATCCGAAGAGAAGTCAAAGTTCAAATTGGAATCTGGCTTAGGCGGAAAGTCAATGATTTATCAGAGGGTGATTAAGAGAGTTTATGATTTTGATAAGGGTGCAGATGTGATCGATGCATTACACAATAATCCAGCTACGGTAGTCCCCGTTGTTTTAAAGCGATTGAAGCAGAAAGATGAGGAATGGAAACGCGCTAGGGTATTTACAAATTAGATCATTTTAGGTTTATATTTTCATTTCTTGTTTTATGGTTTATTATTAAAACATTTTGTATTACTCTAACAGAGAGAATGGAATAAAATATGGCGTGAAATCGATGCCAAAAATTATTATAAGTCTCTTGACCATCAAGGTATCACATTTAAGAATGACGATAAGAAAGCACTCACTCCTAAATATTTGATAGCAGAAATAGAAAATCTTCGTCGTGAACCTAATGATGAAGGAGAAATGCCAGAATATCAATTTAAGTTCCCCTTTAAAGATCTTGAAGTATTCAAGGATGTGGCTCGGATTTTATTTGGATATATGGATCGTTCCGGAACTGTGGTACCAAGTGATAGGGAAAAAATAGAAAAATTTTTTAAAACATTTATTCCCAGTTTCTTTGATGTACCAGCATCTTTTTTTGATGGGATGAATCATGAAGATTCGGCTATGCTTGTTGATCATGAAGAACCTGTTGTAAACGTGCCTATGTCAATAGATAATGCTGATGTTGATATTGATAATGGTCCATTATCTTCAGAACCAATAAGTGGTATGTGGATTCAGGTCTCTAAAGAATCACGTGAAAACATTAGAGCTGTAGTAGCTAATGCTGGCAATGGAAGACTTAAAAAAAAGTCTACGAGTTACTTTTTTGGAAATAATGCATTTTATTGTTTCTTCAGGTTCTTGCAGGTTAGATAATGATTAATTGGACAATTGAAAGTATAATTTATTAATACATTGATTTTAATAAATCGATTTTCATAAACAGATGTTATTCAGTCGACTTGAGCAGATGAAGGAAGGAGCTCAAGAGAAAGCATCAAATTCTTTAAATAAGGCACAAAATGACGCTGCGACTGATTTGGGTATTCAAAACAATCGACTTGATCGTAAGTTTCAATTATTTTGTAATTAACATCATCAATGTAATTAAATTCCGATATCTCTGTTATCTAGCCGAAATTGATATGGATTTGAATCACGGCGATCCTTATACTGTGATGATTGAGCTTATTGAAAAACAATTTGATGGTGATATGGAATTGCCAACATTTGAGGAAAGTCTACGTTATATATACGGTACAAAAGCCTACATAATGTTCACCGTAGATAAGCTTGTTCAAAACATGACTAAACAAGTACGTTACTTAAATATATTTAATAATCTTTTGATAATCTATTAATAACATTTTTATTTATAATACATAGATGCAAATGTTGGTTTCAGACGCGAAATCAAATACTCTAATCAATTTATTTGAGAATAATAAGCAACAACAAGAACAATCGAGTGTCAGATCACATATTATGTACCAGTTACACGCTAATAACACAATTGGATATGATGAACATACATATCGAATCGATTACGTATGATATTTTGAAATTTTTTATTATTTTATAAGAGAAAGTTTTGTATATTATTAAATGTATAATAAATAATACAGGACAAAGAAGGAAATTTTTTGACTATATTATTATCCGGTCGTGACTATACGCTGGGCAGCGCAGTATCTTCAGAGGAAAAGTGGGCCTACTATATGTATAGTTACATGTCTTTAAATCCTACTGAAGGCGTTTCGGCTAAAACAGACCGTCCATTTTTAAAGAGGTAAGTTAGTAATAATTTTGGAAACAATTCGATTCATCTAATCGATATTAATATTTTAAACATGATTTATAGAAATTTGCCATCCGTTGAAGGGTCCGAGCGAATATTGCCAAACGTTTTAACGCGAAATGGATTGGAAATTAAGATATGCATTAATTCATATCATGTTTTCTTCGTTAATAATACAGAAGATAGTTTCAGACGTTTAAGTCCTTCGGTATCACCCACAAAATTACGACATGATACACTTCGACGAAAAGATTTATGGAATCGTTGGTTGGGATCACGAAATGATACCGACAGTATGGAAATGTAGCTTATAAAAGTATAATCGTAGTTGTAGACATTTTTTTTTGATTTATATTATTCAAATTTCGAGTATTTTCAATAACTTTCTCAATATATTGATCGTAATTATGTAATTTCTGTTATTAATAACGCTCTCTTCCTTTTTTTTTCTTTAAACAAAGAGGGAAGGGAATTCATATATAATATTTTTTTTTTTTTCCTTAAATATATACTGCATTATTATGCCATAGATTTTACTTGTTTTATTTCTTTTTTTAAAAAAAGTTACGTATATAAATTGTACACTTAATAAAGAATTTGCATTTAACCAATTTTTTTTACAAATAAATCAAATCAAAATATTTTAAAAAAAATGCACCGCCGCAGTTCAATGATCATATGATAAACGATATAAAAAAAAATTTCTCAAAACATTTAGTTTTTCTATTATCGAACTTTCCAACATACTTTTAATAAAATGGGAAAGAAGAGAAACAAGAAAATTGTTCGTCCGTGGTGCTGGTAAGCTCGGTTAAATTATAGGATCCAAGGTTTACTGAAGCAAAAATTACTAATTGTAATTATTTAATAGGTATTGTGAGAGAGATTTTGAAGATGAAAAAGTTTTAATTCAACATCAAAAAGCAAAGCATTTCAAGTGTCCTCACTGCAATAAAAAATTAAACACGGCGGGTGGAATGGTTGTCCATGTAGCCCAGGTTCACAAAGAAACAATTGACACGTAAGGATAAATAATTTCAATAGCTCAATATATTAAATATAATTTTGCTGCTAAATTTTTGATGTATTTTTAATTTTTATCCCAATCTCAAAGCTCATTATAAAAATAAAAAAATTAAATTAAGGCTAGTTCATAGTGTTATTGTTGATTTTTATTTTAATTTTTATTTTCTTATTTAAGTCCAGACGTAATATATTTGAAACCTAATTGCTTATTTTTTTGGTTCAATCTATAAAATTGTTTTTAGGGTTCCAAATGCATTAAAAGGACGGGAATCAACGGATGTAGAGATATTCGGTATGGAAGGAATTCCCCAAGCTGATATGATAGCTCATATGCATGCGCTTGAAACTAATCAGCCATCAAAGAGAATTAAAACCGAAGAACCTGTGGAGCTTTCTAGTGATGAAATTAAAAAGCAACTGGCTCAACATCAAGCAATGATGCAAACTAGTCCAACGGCTGGCCAATCTTTCCCTTATTCTGGTTATAATGCACAACAAAATATGGCATCGTTGATGCCTCACCAGTACAGTCAATTTTATCAAAGGCCTGGTGTCAATTCAGCAACATATTCACCTGTTGCTCCATACCGACCTGGGTAAGTATAAACTAATGATTTAACTTTGATTTCATTCTTGTATATTAAACATATTTTATACAATTATCAAGTCAAATTCCTGGACAATCTCTACCAGTTATATCTGGTCAACCATGGCGTCCTTCAGTAACAGGAGTTAGTCAACCATTATATGGAACAACCCAACCTCCATATGGAGGTCAGGTTCAACCAGCTACAACGGGACAATCAGCGATTTATCCACCTCGTCCGGCTAATAATGTTGCTCCTTCATCTCAAATATACTCACAAGTTCCAAATGCTGGAATGTCTACATCAGGTCAGCTTTCTTATGTTCCTTACGCTGCAAGACTATCATGACTCAATATTAACATATGTTCCTCCTTCTACAGTTCCTTCCGTTGGCGAAACGACTACAAACGAGACTGCTATGAATAACGCAGCACAATCAAACTCTCAACTGACGGCTCAAAAATCTGTGCCAAAAGTCGTATTGGTTTACAGTGATAATGAAGTTTCGATGGTATGAATCAATTTATTTATCATAATTTTATATTAACATGTATTAATATATTTCTTATATATTAATAGGAAGAAAAAAGAGCTGAACTTGAAAAATATCGATATAATGAAGATCAATTCAGACAGCAGGTGCATGCTCTCGAACTATCAGTCCAATCGCGTGTTGCAAACTTTAAAGGGAGGGTTGTGTGATAGGATCTAGTTTTGTTTTATGTTAAAAAGTTATGATCTTACACAGTTTATATATATATAAGTCTTCAATGTTATAGATTGACTTCAGTGTTGGCAGGAACTCTGGTAAGAAATAAAATCCGGTAAGCGCAGATAAGACAAAGAAATGAAGATATACGTGATATATTCGATCCTTGTGCATTGTCAAGAATTTTTTTCGTACCCAGAAAGATATATTATTATTATTATTATTATTATTATTGTAACTTTTTTTTTTTTTTCCTGTCGTTTGATTCAAAAAAAAAAAAAAAAAAAAAAATGAACGAGGTTACATAACCTTTTTTAATTTCATTTTCCGAGAATTTATTTACTTGGTTAGGGGTTTGTATATTCTCAATTAGCCTCTATTTTGTTTAGAAATATATATATTTTTTCTATAAAAAAAAAAAAAAAATTATATTATACAACAAATTACCAGGAAATTTTAATTCTATTTTATCAGGTTGGTTAATATATCAAGGTAGGAAAATTTTATTAAAAGTGAGAAGGATTTAATCATTTAGAATGTATTATAAAATGTTTACAATTATTATTATTAAAAATTAATAATAGTAATAATAATAAATAAAATTATTTTTTAATTAAAAAAACTTTTTTTTCATATGCTTAAAAAATTTTGATATATATTATTAGTTAAAAAAGTCAAATATTAATTTAATCGGCTTATTTATACGCATATATCGAAATTTAATTTTCACAAAAAATGTAACTTTTAATTTGCATTTATAAAAATTGGTTATGTACAGTACACTCCCCAGTAAAAAGTATCCGACCACCCTTAAAATTTAAAAACAATTAAAAAAACCAAACCTCCTAATAAAAATTTTATATTTATTTTAAAGTATGAAGCGTTAAAACTATTTAGAAGTGTTTTCTTGCTTAAATAATAATGAAATTCCATGTAAATATGTAATTTAAAAATGTGTAAATTTTTTATCTTTAAAACCAGAAGAGTTAAAGCAAAATAGATGTCAAAATTCGATTCTCTGACTAAAAAATAGCTTATGTTCCAAAAATCAGAAAGAATGGATCAGTAGTTGTTGAGAGATCTGTCTCTGAAAATTATGAATTTTGGTAAATTTCATATGTAAATCATCATTTTATATATTTTGCCAATTTTCAAAAACAGATCTCTCAACAACTACTGATTCAATATTTCTAACAACTCTTTCTCGCTTTAACATGACCACCGCTAGACAAACAAAAAATTCAAACAAAAATATACAAAACAAAAATACTTTTACTGAACTTTTTACTTCAAACGCTCAAAATACTTCACTTCAAATACCTTTTACCTCTCAAATGAAAAACCCAAACAATTTTGATACTGAAACCCCAAACAAACGAAAAAAAATTTCTTCTTCTTCAAATAATTTAGAAAACATTATCGAAAATATTATTCTTACCCCTTCCAATAATCAAACTATTGACTTAGATATACCTGTTATTATCTCTAAAGTTTCAAACAAAAATAAAGAAGACTCTGTTATAGAAATAGACAACCTACAACTTTTGTTTTAATTGACCAAAGCACCAATGACTCTATGCACACTACCCCCTCAAACTCTACCTCTTCTCATATATCAGACAATATAGACACACTGATTCCTTACACCAAGGGAAAAAAGAAAGTAACTTGGGATGAAGACTTTGAATCTTATGAACAATACATCGCCGATAAAAATGATGATGTCAACAACAAATCTTTTACCATCATCACATCAACAACATGTTTTTACGTGTCTATAGATACAAAGGATTTCACTAATTCCTCAATTGTAGAAAAATGTTATACAATCAACAAACTTTTCAGCCACTTTAAAGAATACAGGACTTCCTTTTAACAACACTCAATTAGATCTCTCTGGTTTTTTGATCCAGATCAAAGCAAAGTCATGTTTTATTCTAAGAGACTGATAGTATTGTTTCAGACTATATACATATATTAACTTTAATAATATTGATGATTATGATAACGCTTTTAACTTACAACAAAAATTCAAAAATTGTATCTTATTTTGAATTACTCCTAGAATCCAACACTGTAACTCCTGTGGTTCTCCATATCACAAGATCCAATCATGTGATAACCATCCTCATCCTAATCTGTTTAAACCTCTTTATGATAGATTCAAATTAGCTTAATACAGACCTAAACCTTTTACACCTAAACCTAGTACTTCACATAATTACGAGTCAAATAATCAATCCAAAAAATCCTCTTATTCTGATTCTATTCAAATTAGAAATGATAATTATATGAATTATTCAGATAAATAAAATCAAACATCTCCTCCAACAGTTGCTTCAGCTATTAAATCAATGATGGATCAATTAACTTCCTTGGAAAATAAATTTCGATTATTAAAAGACAAATTAATCAAAACTCAGAACGCATGTGTTAAATTAAAACAAATTCAACTTCATACTATCAACTGAGTCGAAACCATTGAAAATCAACTTCATATCAGCAGTCCAACCCCATTAAATCATACATCATCAAACGATTTTGCTCTCAATAAAAATGATTTTTCCTCTCTAAACGAATTCGTTCCTGTTCAAAATCATTCTCTTATTCTATCATATTCTTCATTCACATCACGTGACCAAATGATCGACCAACAAGAAAGACAAATTTCAATGTTACAAAATAACTTTAGTGATGCCAAAAATAATCTCAAAATTATGAAAGACGTTATAATGCAATTTTTACAACATTCTAATACTTCCCAATGAATACTATACAACAAACAAAAATATCTCTCTTTTACAAGCTAAGTGAAAAGAATAACAATTTTAAAATAGTAACTCATAACATTAGAAACTGTATTTTAAATGAAAAAAAAAATCAAATTGAACAATTTTTTTTATTTCATAACTTTGACATTCTTAGTCTCTCTGAAACTCATTTGACTATGCAACAATCTTATTCTATTTGCAATAAATTTAAATC